AACGAAGACGCCAGCATTGCATCTGTGAAAAGCGAGTCAGGACGCTGACTCGATCTGACGCGTGTACCTGCAAGAGCGTTTGTGACATAGATCCTACAAGCTGTATATGGTGATCATCATGTGATATCTTCGCTGCGCAAATCAGGTGTCTTGGCTTTTTTCTAGTAAACATCCACAAGGTAACCCGAGCCTACTGAGAGACCTCCTTCAACATTTTATCCTTTGAAGTCTCATTTGAGTTTGAGCTTCTCTGAGTTGAGATCACCCTTGAGAACATGGGACCAGGGAAACCTGGGTGTTCGAGTGTGNNCATGGCCTTCCGTCACGGCGCCATTACCGCTGCTCTCGAGGCAGTTCTGTATGATTCTGGTTTGGAGCCCCAAGCGGGACGGAAAGTGTTCCTTGGATAGGTATCAACAGGCCACAAACTACAACAGACTGGAAAGCATCAGCTGAAGAGTGGAAAGCATATTGAGATCTGTGTCACGATGAAACGTTGCTTGAGATTTGTTGCTTGGGTTTGCTTATTGAGATCAAACATGTTCGGCATGTGCACACACTGTTTTGCTTGTTTGGTTTCAGTTAAATAACTTGTATTCATGACCACCGCGGCGACATGGAGCTCCACTTACCACCATACATCGGTTCAGCAACTTTTTCTTGTGTGTGTTTTGTAAGTTGTAGGAAGAAAAAGCTTCTGCGCTACTCTCGCTATCTGTCTGGCATGGAATGTAAGTTGTAAGCAGTTCGAAGACCCCGCAACACGGTCTTCGCAGTCAGCCATGGAAATCAATATTCAAATCAAAAACGTGCTGAGGCCAGAGGACATTGTCACGGCATTCGCTGCGTTGGGACAAGGAAGCCAAGAAAGCCAGACTTCCCAAGAACCCCGTGATTTTCGAAGGCCTCCACTGCAGAGAACACAGACGAAAAAATTCGCAGCTGCAACAACGGGGCAGCCTCGTCAACAGATCATGATTCAGCCCCCGGCATTGTATTACGCCTAAGCCTACTTCTACAAAGCAGCTGGCAGCGCTCCCCGCACCTCCAGATGCCCTGGTCAAGATTTCCGAACACCGTCCAGACCTTTGCTGGTACGAAAGCAACGTGCAAAGTCCTCCAGGCGGATGGATTCCAGAACACCAAGGAGATCAAATTCCAGGATCTCAACTTTCCAGAAAATCTATACCGAGGACACAGAGAGTAACATTAAGATCTCGTTCCCCCAGGGCATCCGCAAGAACTTCACCTCGGGCATCCACTAAAACTACAGATCCAGACGGTCTTCGCCAAGATCAGCCGCCAGATCTCCAGCACCGAGAGCCTCCAGATCTTCAACACCTCGGGCATCCAGATCTCCGAACCCTCAGGCATCCAGGCCTTCGGCACCTTAGGCATCCAGAACTTCGGCACCTTCGGCAGAGACGCCTGCCGAAAAGCCGAAGAATCTGTATGAGACCCCAAAGATGCCCACGAAGATTACCTTCTCGCGGAACCTGGAGAAGTACATGGTCGACTGGCTTGCTGATGCAGTAGGCCTTTGCATTGGCATCCTTGAGCACCTCGTCTGTTTGAGTTGCTTCCTGCGCTGATTCGTAGGATCCGCCGTAGTGTTTCTTGAGCGATCCCCGAGCTTTGCCTCCCACGACGATGCCCGCCATGTTCTTCCCTAATCTCTAGGTGTTGCAGACGATCCTGCTGATGTTGTATTCGTCCAACTCATCGTCGGTTCCATGGCACCAGAATAAGATGCGCTCTGACTTCGTTGGGAGAGGGGGGTCACGTACTCGTAGGTCATCAGATTGTAAAAAGTAGAATCTGTGCATGTTCTCTGGTGTGGGGTCCCTGCCTCTGTCCCAGTGACGTCGTGCTCGAGCAGGGTGCCTGTGGTAATGCGAAACCGGGCTGATGCGCAGATTGCCTGCACACACTTCAACTACCTGGCCTTCGATCAATTGGCGCAAGATCTCCGTCCACTGCAGCATCACGCAGTACCAGCGGGAGACGGGAGTCAAAGCAAAAAGGCGATTGGCGCTGATCTAGGGCAAGAAGGGTCGCCAACAATGACGCCGCGTGCAGCTGTAAGCGCATGCCTTTTTTCAACACGCCACCTGCCGCACAACGACTGCAAAAAAGACCCTCGGACGCTTGGACAGTCATGCTTCTTAAGTCGTGCAAGGCCGCTTCCTTTTGTCTATTTTGATGTCGTGTTGCCTGCGCCTCAGCCTTTTGCCAGATTTCACCACTTACGAGAAAACACCTTTGTCGTATATATCATGGCATACGTGGACTCCAACATGGTCCCAGGGGTCACAGGCACCCACAGGCGGACAAAATCCAGCCTGGTGGCAGAATCAAACGCCAGCGTGGAGCATGCCGACGCCACCGCCATTGCCGTCAACACCAGCAACGCCTCCGTCCTCAACGACCACACCGACAGCGTGGCCGCCACTTCCGCCGCCCGCAAACCAGTGGAGCACAAACCCCCCCCATATGCTACCACGACAAATTCAGCGCGCGTGCTTGTGCCTTCGCACTTCAAGGAAGACCCATGCAGAGCACTACGACTCCAACATGATCTTCAGGTCCACCCTAAAGAAAAACGTCGAGCCTACAGCGTGGAGCAGAGCAAAAAGAGTGGCAGGAATGGACATTCGGGACGTCACAGTTGCACAGCTCTGTAGAAGAGACTTTCGCACGGCAAATTCACGGGCCTCATCCTCACACGCAACATCGCGGAGACAGTGTGCTTCTATCCCAGCTTCAGGCGCAGCTTCGCAAGGACAACATCGACGTTGACGGCACCATCGACGCCAGGTACAAGGCCAAGAATACTCAGGCCCCGGACAATATGTCACCCCCTGGTCAACGAGTTCCTTGACTCAATCAAGCCGTGGACGCAGGTCAAGAACTACGCAGTCAAGAACTACGACCGCGACAATCAAGCGGCTCAAAAGATGCAAGCATTGGAAGAGGAGGCCGCAAAGTACAAGGAGAGACTAAGGCTGACTAAGGACTGCCGGGCTACAGATTACGCCTACCAAGTCCTTGCCAGTGGAAGATGGCAGCCCGGTCGTGGAGCAGGTGACACCAACGTCACAAGAACCGTCCCAGTCATCGCGGGAAGTGCCCAACAAGCGCAGACGTCTTCAGCGCAGAGAGTCGAAGAAGCAACTCGAGCAGATGATCCATGAGCCCCACAACATCCTCAAGCACACTGGGCAGGATCCTCCTACAAGTATGACCTCCATCAAAACGTGGGTCACCAACATCAAGAAGACTCCAGCACACAAACAAATGGCGATGGATCAGCACATGCAGCAGATGCACCAAATCTTGGAGGAGGGCAAGTTCAACAAAGGTCAACTGCAAGGAATGGCCACACGACGGGCGTTGCCAATATCATCACCACGGCAGCTTCGCCCAAAACACTGCAGCAACTCGTGGCAGCAGCTACCTTCTTGGCGGTGTGACGTGCGCAGGTGATCCTCGGAGCCAGGCTACCACATCAAGAAAGTCTGGAACCTTCCGCAGACTACAGAGATGAGTAGCTGAACGGGCACAGTTTTTGCTTCTGTTTGCTCCTGCCATAAATAAGGAAGTTCTGATGTGGCTGGTAGGTTTGCTGCGTCTTGTGTTCGCTTTTCATCGAACGCGGCAATCAGCTGCAGCACAACAGCTTAAAGATCGACTTCGAGAAAAAGGAGCTGTGCCTGAACTCTACACATATAGCAAATTCACACATCCGTGCGCGGTTTCTGGCAAGTTCAAGTTTCCCAAGCTCAACAATGCGGGATACGCAGAGATTGACAAGGAAGCAGCATTTTGCTACATCGGGTCCACCAACCTCACGCGCAGTGACCGCAAGAGAGAATACAAAAGAGTCGCACAACTTCGACAACTTCAACAACAGAAACTTCCCAAAACAGAGATCGCAATTCGCTACTGGAATGACACCAAGTCCTACGAGCAGTTCAGCACAATCCTGTTTTCGCAGCATTCGGCGTATATTGATGCATGGGCTGAAGAGCATTGTCTTCTACAACGTTGGCAGCCCAAGCTGAACTACCCCTTTGTCACGAAAGAGCTGGTTAAAAAAGCTCATGGCTTGGTACCAAAGCGACAACAACCTCACGCGCAAAGACCACCAGACTCACTTGCAACAATATTCGAAAAGATTCGTCGCCGCGTTCAAGGACAAAAACGTCAGCTACTCAACGTGATACCAAAGCAAGCACAATTTTGGAAGCTCCTCTGCTACGCCATTTCCAGCGACACCAAGCAAGAGTACGACGCCTCACGAGAACTCCGAAGTGGCAAGCACGACATGGCAAGCACGACAATGAGACAGTCACCTTACTATATAGACTCGCCAACTATATGGAGCAACCTTGGAGATCCAAAGCCAGAGCAAGGCTTCGTCGGGTTTTACAATTCAGAAATGCCTCCGTCCCAAAGTTCAGCAAACCACTCACCCTCACGTTTTTTCCTCGCCCATAAAGCTTTCAAGAACAACTTGCAGAAGTTCCTATCCAACCTCATTCGGCAACATCGACATGTGCTCGTACCGTACCATTCGCCTACCAAGACAATCCGGGAGATGCCGCACCCTCGATCTTCCCCAGTCCCATCGCATCTTTAACAAAGTTGGTGCCAGCAATGCATTCTTTTCGTCAAAACAAAGACTACGCCGACAGCAATTTCAGCAGTGGCTAAACCATCATCAATTTCCAGCAGATCACCGCATCCACCTCCAGTTGAGTTCCTCCAGGGGCAATTGCGCCATCATCAATGCCAGTTGGAACAAGAACCTCGACTGACGCATAGATTAGTCAAGCACATCATTTCCATCATCCCCGACGACTACATCATCCACAATGAGGATCACGCCAACGCGCGCCTCATGATTTACTGTGCCAACGTATACAACCAGGCGGCATACAACACTTGGATGAATGGAAAAACCTGTGTTCAAGTTGCTGGACAAAACGGAGCAGGACATCAAAGAGGACATGCGGCAGCGCACCCCCTCAGAGGTCACCAAAGCACTACCCAAAACTATTGTCCTACGACAAGCCCATACCGTATGGCTACATCATGATGAAGCGGAAAGAGAGCTGGAGCAAAGGCCGGACGATCATCGCCTACGCAAACACATGCGTCGGCAAGCTCCTCAAGATTGCAGCGTTGGCACTGCAGCAAATGCTCAACATCGCCTGGCCTGCACATTTCGGCAATGTCAGCACGCCAGAGCTATGGAGCGAGATCCACCTATTCCTCAGCAACAACGAGCAACACCTGAGTTTCCTCAATCATGATCTGGTGGGGTTCTTCAATTCTATACCCCAGGCTGACATCATGCAGAGCATCCAATTCCTCACCTCCGAGTTCCTGGACAAGAACAATTTACGGCACCCTCCTGGTAGATCCGCACAACAAGATTAACCCAGCACACTCAGGCAGATCCTCATACAGCGTAAACACGAACATGGTTCGCATTCAAGCCGAGCACATTCCAGCCATTATACAGCGCAGCTTCGACGCTTGCTCGTTTACAGCCATAGGGGAAGTCTTTCAGCAAACGCGCGGTACCTCAATGGGCAACCAGATTAGCCCTATATTGTCTACGTGCGCCATCGTCGCCACGGAGATCACGTGGCTCCGCATGTACGGGCGGTTCGTCAGCAATGCGCATCTACTTGACTGATCAACTTTGGATACGCCGATACCATCCTCGTCGACACGGAAGAGTTGCAGAGAAATCCTTACACACAACAGCTTGTCTCGCTGCAGTTCTACAAGAAGCCGGCGCAACTCGAAGATGAAAAATGTGATGATTTCCTTGGCTTCAACATCAATGCCAACAACCGGAAGGTGACGTACAACCTTCACCAGGAACCATGGCGATACAGATTGCCACAATCAGCGGGATCCATCAAGCTCCGACTCAGTGGATACCACAGTAGGAGGCACCTCGGCTTCGTTGCAGCTTTGGATTCCATGACGTTCTGAAAACGCAGCAACGAAAAAAGGACTGCTCATGTGAAGTAGACATAGACGCACTGTGCGTTGCAATCTCTTTTTGGTGTTGCTTGGTTTCTTTTTCGAACAGTTTTTTTACTGTTTGGCATAGCTCCAGCTCCAACGGCCCCGAAGAAAGCAAAGAAAAGAAGAGCTGCCGATGCCACGCTGGATGACCCCCTTCTCACCGATATTGACACTGACTCCGACGTCGTAGAATACCAAGTGAGGCTACCGCATGGAATTCCTCTTGATGCAGAGCCACCTTCACTTGAGGAACGTGCCGAACATGAAGTTGAACAAGAGTGCCAGCGTCAACTCTGCGACAAGTACATCAGTATGAACGTTTTCAAATAGATGGCAGTACACCTAGACTCTGATTACCTTCGACCAGCAGCACAGACCAAGAAAGGACTTCCCGCCAAGACGTTCTCAGCTGGCACCTTTTACCCTTCTACCACGCAGGCACTGTCGGTATCAGAGTAAAAGCTACCCTGGGCCACTGCGTTATTGGCACACATGGTCAGAGCCTGCACTCACACGCGCTTCACGGCGGTAACCCTCTTATGCAATATACACATGAGAAGACATGTCGACAAGTACAACATGGGTGACTCCAACAACATCCTCATACCAGTGACGACATTCAGACAAGGACAGTTATTGATCGAAGAAGAAAACGGACCAGATCTATCACCAGGAGGACAACATTATGGCAGAAACCACAACGTCAAACTTCCTGGCATAGAGTTTAGCCCCTTAAGCACGGGACATGTACGTGGAAATCCGATCGCATCGCCCTTGCTGCGTTCACAACGCTTCGAGCCGATGAAATACCAGGCAAAGACAAAGAGTACCTGCAGTCGCTTGAATTTAATTTGCCGATGTCAGGCAGACGATAAAAAAAAAAACAAACAGCAGTGGTGTACAGAATTAATTAGGTGCAAGAAGGACTTGGTTGTACCAGGCAAGGCAATAAGCACCCGTTTCTCTTCTTTCATTTCTTTTTCAAAACGTCGCAAGTTTTGGTTCCGTTCATCTGTAGTGACTTGGCTTCGGAGCAATTCCCACCGAACCTCGTGGCGACACCATGGAGCAACCAGACGGCTCTCGTGCAGAAATGACTCCAGTGTGGGTGAGCGGCATGGACTGGACAGGCCGGAGTCGTGTGGAGGGAATCAGAAGTTTTGTCAAGCTCCCGCGTTCACCGAGGTCTGTAGCGTGCAGGCAACGCGGCCAAATCGGCCAAGAGTTCGACGAATCCACGCAGACGTATTTGGCTCCGTGGTCTGTTGCGCGCGCGACCTATTGAGCCAACCGAACATCGCAGCGTGCAGGACAACAGCTGTACAGAGTGTACCTCCAATCGTATGTGCAAAACGGCAAAGACTCGGTCCTGCAGGGTGATTATTGTTCCAGTGCACACAATCCAAGGGAGTAAATAATACCGACCGACATGGCCGACTCCGAAGACGAAGACCTGAGTAAAGCATACAAGTGATGAGCATCGAGGAGAGGGGAGAGTACGTGTGACCGCACAGCAGTGACCCACGGCCCGTGCATAGGCCGAGTATCTTGCTTTTGCTGAGCACGCTTTCATCAGCTGCACTTGTCGCAGCGTCTCTGCCGCGAGCTGGCGCCGCTCGGCCATGAATGGCTGCTGGCCTGCGGAGGGAGTGGCAGCTGCGGGCCGGCCGTTGCCCTCGCCAGTCCTTTCAGTCTTCGTGCTCTCCTCCGAGGTCATCTCTCGGTCTTCTTCCGCATTCAGAACCATGACTCTCCCCGACGACATCTCCGATGACAACGATTCCCCAGAAAGAGGTGGAACTGTTGAGCCTTGCGACCTGCTCAGCTGAGCTAGACATAGCTGCCAGGCCTGACGTATCTGTTCCATAGGACGTGTGGCCGCTTGAGCGCCTTGCAGAGAGCCGTCGCCTGCGAGGGGGGATAGATGACCCAGACGACCAGTCATAGGTGTACGTGTACGAGTCCTCGTCCTCTGCATCGTCGACCTTCGGCTTCTGAGGCAATGGGGCTGCGCCGCGACAAAGCTGAGGTGGATAATGCCCCCTGACATCGGGATGTAGTCGTTCGTCTGCCGGATGAGTCACTGTGTCGTTGCTCCGCTCCGCCGTGGCCGGAGCGCACGCTTCCCGTAGTTGACGTCTGCGTTGGAGCGGTGGAGCATATGCAGCTGGGCCAGTCCGCAGCTGTTCGGTGATCCCCGTTCCGGCAAAGAGTGCCTTCGCGCTCGCGGTGGAGTAGGCGGTTTCCGTCGCTGTTCGCGGGTGTGTGTGTGTGAGTGTGAGTGTGAGTGTGAGTGTGAGTGTGAGTGTGAGTGTGAGTGTGAGTGTGAGTGTGAGTGTGAGTGTGAGTGTGAGTGTGAGTGTGAGTGTGAGTGTGAGTGTGTGTGTGAGT